GTTGCAATTCTGTAAACTTTGCCAATGACACCACTCTGTACAGTAGTAGGCCTAATAGCTAATTAGAACAGCTAAGTTTAACAATGTCTAATGCCTTGCTTGAAAGCACTGACTGGTTTTATTCAAACAGTTTGGTACTTAACAATAATAATACTCAAAGTTTGCTTTTCTCTTTGTGTCAAGTTACCCTCAGCTTTAAACACTGAAACATTAAATTACAGTGATTACAGAAATTACAGCGAATATTCTTGTATATATCTATAATATTAAAACGAAACAGTGTTTTTTTATTTCACGATTCTGAATCAACCACTTGACGGATTTTCATGATTTTTGTGTTGAAAGAAAGATAATTTTGAGAACTAGGGAATGTCGAAGCCATAATTTTAGTTTAGGGTCCCAGTTTTTTAGAAGTTAAGTTTTAATTTTTAAAAAGTCTAGCAGCCGACGCTAAGATTCTAAACTAGCTTTTGGCATAAAATAATTTTCTTAACATAACAGCTGTAAACATTCAGCTTTTGTGTCACAAATTCAGCATTTGAATAAAAATATAAAGATATACTTAGGGTGGACTTATTTATTCTATGTGTAATGCTAATCATTGATACGTTCAATTCTTCTGTAAGAGGATGACAGATTAATTAAATATACATAGTAAAATATTAGGATGTTCAAATTATTTTTTAAGCAATCTTTATAATCTTCGATTCGTTTTAGAGCAATATAATTAGTTTTAACTAACAGCTGGTTAAATATAAACTATGGAACTATGAGGTTATTTTATTTACTCTTATTTTGTCATTGATTATAGGAAATAAGTGAGATTAGTAGAGATAATTAGACCACAGTTTTAACCAAAATTAATTAAACCACAGTACAAATCGAGGCTCTGTACACGAGTCTTAATAAAAAAGGATAAATTCAAATTATTTTACTGCTACACTTTTCAAAGAAAGATTAGAAAAATAACAATGTTTACATGTTTTAATTCTTCATGGTAGCTTTTTGTTTACAATAATGTTTGTCTGCTTTAACTTTGTTTGGATTAGGCCCGGAAATATTGATGTCATAAAAAGAAGATCAAGAATAATCAGGAATCACGATTTTAAATTACCACCACAACCTCAGCCGGGTTTTATACAAAGATAAACAGATGGATGACATAGATTGAACACAACGTCAACATTGACCTAGGATACTGCAATTAGACAAACCATCCTTTTTTATGAAATCGTGTTCAGTTGTGGTTACGTTTGGGGGTGCCTATATCAGCGCCCCCAAACGTGAAAATATCACTTTTATTTCAACTATGAATATATTGTAGTTTAAATTAACTAATATGGGAAATTACGATGTACATTTATCCAATGAGGGTGGGTAATTATCAAGGATAGAACTGATAACGGTATGGATAATAAACATTGACAATTACGTCATTAGCTTTACTAGCGTGTTTATTTTTTATATTCCTGCTTCATGTGACCAGTTCTTTTTTTCAAATGAATGTTATTTGAACCAAACAGCTGTTTCAAAACAAACTGTTATTGTTTTTACTTTTCTTTGTTTACACTTATTTATTTAGCAATTAATGCAGTGAAATTGATATAAAGGATAGGTGTGACGATTAGTTTTGATGTTAGGACACCAAAGTTAAATTATGTGTACTGTGAATTTTATTGGATATTATCGTTTTATTTTAGGTCATTTCTATTCAGACCTACTGGAAATTGTGTATAGTAGTTGTATTGTGGTGATAATAATTATGGAAGAAGCAGGTATGCTATGGAAGGTGGTATCGTTGACTAGGTCACTTCTCAATTGACTATTACCATTGACTATATATACCTACTGATAGTCAATGCTATTACTCTCTCTACTGTAGGCTACTTATAATCAGTGTGCAAATCGGCTGCAAATCTCACTTCAACGATTTTAACATCGTAAAAATTGCGGAATTTTGCTGTTTTATTGTAAAATTATCGGATTTAAAATGCATATCGTATAGGCCTATGATGGAATAAAAACATATTTGGTCACACAACGTCTGTTTACAAGATGATTTTTCACATTAAAACTGCAAGAAACTTTGTCTTTATATGTGTAAACTAGCTGATCTGAATTGGACACGGTTTTAACTGACTACTGAATTCCCGTACGTAGGACGGGCTAACACCTCGTTAGTTTTATTATTAGACAAACAAATTTAAAATAAGTTTGACACATTCATGTACTCTTTCTTTGTATGTGTTCAATACAGATATATTTTATTGATTGAAAATTATCTGTATGAAATATCCAATGCCGTATTAAAAGGCACATGTACTGAAAAGTTGGTCCGACCTGGACACATCTCGCACGTCAGGTGGCTTAATCTGGCAAATCAAGTTCTTCGTTTGTATGTAGCCACAGATGGCCCAATCTCTCAGCTAAGAAAGCTTGCAGAGTTCATTGAAGGTCTAAATACCATCATGGTTCTCAATTAAGTGCAATCTCTTAAGGCTTCAAAATGATTCAGCTCAACAATTACTTGGAAGACAAGCTACAAAAAAGTCGTCCTTGCAACGTTACAGAGAAACGCATTCTTGGCTGAACTTGAGCATGGCTTAGCAATCTTTCTGATGAACGAACACATATTAGAGTCTTGGCTCATAAAAGAATCCAGAAAGCTTGTGAAATTAAAAAGAACGGGTTAAGGATATTCAAACCCCTCAGATCATTTTTGATGCTACAGATTATATTGATATGATTGACTGGCAAACCACTTTTGTAACCAAACCCCCTCTTGTTGCTGATATGAGCCTAGAAGAGTTTAAATCAATTGCGGAAACTGGCACAAGTTAAAAGGTTGAATTTAGTATTCCATCTCACACCTCAAGTGGTGGAACAAATTTTGAAGGAACTTGGAAACAAAAAAAGAGTAAAAAATGGGTACACCCTGTTACACACTATCCACTTTTCCAGTGATCACATGGTAGTGATCCTCACGCAGGGCAGAGGAGTAGCAAATAAAATTGAATCTCTAAGCCGTGGACGAATTAAAACTTTTGGTTACGTAAGAGCCAACACCACGTTAGCCCAAGACTCATAAGCCATTGAAGCTTTAGAAGAATACGAGTTCGTACATGTCAAATTTGTGTTTTATTTCTCATATACTTGTTTTCATTAGGTTAAGTTTTAGATATAGTTTTTGACGCCATTCAATTTTCTGATATACACTTTGAGATACAGTAAAGACAATTTGATTTGATTTGAAGACCTTAAAGTCGATAACCGCCAATTGAACCTTACAACATAACACAATGACAGAATGTTAAAGTTACTCTCAAGTGACAACAAATTGTAAAATAGTCACATTTTAATTGGTATTTATCCAAAGTAATGTAGAAAATGATTTTAAGTCACTTGACTTATCGTACAAAAATTAAATGTGTAAATGTCCATGAAAACTGTCAGCAATGATTTTGTTTATATTTCATCCCAAGACATAAACGTAAACAATGGACATAAACAATGGTATGGATCATAAACATAAACAAATGACGTTTTTGGCCCGAAAGTAAACAAAACCATATGTTAATTAATTCTATTGGTATAGGGTTTTGTTTACTTTCTGGCCAAAAACTTTATTTTTTTATGTTTATGATCCATACCGGTATTTTTCTAGTATTCGTGGTAACTTGTAACCAAATTATAGCTGTTTTTTGTTAATTCATAAGGAAATTAAATTTGTTATAAATTTAAGCAGGTTGTAGGTTTGAATTAAGGCTATTTACATTTAACAGCAAACTAAGCAATTTAGTAACGAAAAAACATCAATGTAAAAACATTGATGTATCGAAAACATCAGTTATCGATGCTCATTTGTTTACTTCACGCCTGGAATCTATTCAGTCGGTGAGGTTTTCTCTTGTATAAACTGATATGTCAACAATGATATTGACAATTCCAGCCACAGCCTGGCATAAGATGTGTCACCCGGCCATCTTAGGCCACCAGTCAGTGTACAAAGTCTATACAAGCCAACACTCCGTGCCTATTCAAATTGTTCATAAAGAAACTGGTCACATTGGTTTCAACAAAATTTAAAATAAAAACGTCATCAATAAGAATAAATTAAAAAATTATGTTTTATTTTAAATTTTTGGTAGGTAATTAATGTTTGTAACACGTGAGGGGCTGTTTTTAAAAATGGTTTTATTTTTTTGTATGGCTTTGTAATTCACGTGTACGCCAAAACGAGGCGGTTCTTCGCTTACAGGCATCATTGGTGAACAAAATGGTGCCATTTGTAGCTCTGTGGCCAACATGTACGTTTTGCTGTGTTTGGACAATTTTTAAAATTATTGAATGTCACGCCATGCAAGATTAGGTCAGTGATACGTTTTTTTTCCAAAAAACCAATCTTATGCCAACATTCATTGTCTGATGACTGAAGGTTATAGCCCTATGCAATGATCAAGGGTTAAGTGCAGAAATGGGTTAGGGAGTATAAAAATGACTGTGAAATATTTTTTCCTTTGTGGTCTCTTCTGTGAGAAGTGTGGGTTCCCACTGAAAAAACAATTCAATCCAAAATATACATTTTCACAGCCATTTTTAAACTTCTCCATTTCTACATTTTACCCTCACTCATTGCATTAGGGTCATCAACTTCAATCATCTGGCAATGAATGTCTGCAGCCGATATGTTTCTTGCTTCTTGCAGCCAAAAAACATATCTCTGACCTAATCTCATGTGTCGCAGGAGATTCAAAATTTAAAAAATTTTCCTGACATAGCCAAAGTATATTCATCAGCTACAGAGCTGCAAAAAGCACCGTTGTGTTCACAAATGATGCCAGTAAGTGGCGAGGAGCCTCGTTGCGGTGTACACGCTAACTAGGAAAAAACTACCCTCGTATAAGTATAGTCAATATATACTACTTCAATATATATATATATATATATATATATATTCAATATATATTACTTCTAATGTGTAATTTTTGTTGTGTTTACAGTTGTATACCCTCAACATAGACAACCCTTCCGACTGTGGGAAGAAGTTTGTTTCAAACAGGAGGGTTGGACTTATCTTGTTTCTCGGCATCGTCCTCGGTAACCTTGCCAAGGTCAAAGCCGACTCTCCGAATGACGAACCTCACACCGACTCGTCTCGAAGTAGTGACGAGTGATTCCTCGATCTACAACGTTACCTAAACTAGTCACTGTACCTTATGTTCAAAGGGAAAGCCATGTACTGTAGATAAATTTTATGTTTGTTTAATGGGACAGATTTCAGCTGGCTTACCTGAAAAACTTGAAGAGCCCAGGGGTATATTTAAAAACCTCTGGACTCTTTAATTTTCTAAGGTAAGTTAGCTGAACTCTCTCCCTTTAAATAAATAAACTCACTATGCCTTATGTGATTAATAAATTTGTTTGTTTGCCAAGCCAGTGTTTGTTATTTTCTCCTTGAAATTTATTCAAACTGATGTAATAGATGAGGGCCTTGACAAACTAAAAAAAATATACAGGGCGTCCCGGAACCCTCTACCAATATTTTAGGGCATTGCTCTTGGGTAAGAAACATACCTAAATATCATATTTAAATTGTCCTTAGTTACTCACACAGCCGCCATTTTGTTTTTTCCGTTAATTAACCGGAACTCAAACACTAAACTCAAAAACCGTTAATAAAAAAAAATTTGCAAGAATAACTTTAAGGTAATTTTATTACAAATCGATTGATACCTTATTTTTTTTTATTGGACTAGTATTAACTGAGATATGGTAGTTTTAGTGATACGTGGCCGCTTTCAGCATGCGCTGCAACTAACCTCCAGCGGTCACGTATCACTAAAACTGCCATATCTCAGTTAATACTCGTCCAATCTTAAAAAAATAAGGTGTCAATCGATTTCTAATACAATTGCCTTAAAAAAGTTATTCTTGCAAAATTTTTGTAAAATTAACGGTTTTGAGTTATTTAAGAAACAAAACTTTAAATGGCCGCCATTTTGTTTTATGAATTTGAAAAATCGTCATAATTTTTGGTAGCTTCGTCTAGTTGTCATAAATGTTTGTGCAAATTTTCCATTTCGTATGTTTAACCATTCTTTAGAAATACATTAATAACTGAAAAAACAAATTGGCGGCTGTGTGAGTAACTAAGGACTTCCGGACAATTTAAATATGATATTTAGGTATGTTTCTTACCCAGGAGCAATGCCTTAAAATATTGGTAGAGAGTTCCGGGACACCCTGTATATTGCACCACCAGAAACAAATACAAAAATAAATGCAGTACATTTCAGTTCAACAAATAATGTATGCAAAATATGTAAACTAAACAGATTTACTAAACATGTTGTTTGATTTTGTTGTTTTGTATAGGAAGTGCACAGTTTTACCTGTACAGTGAGCAAGTCTTCTGAATAGGCAACACACAAATTAACTCATACAAAAATGTATATGTTTTATAGTCACTGACCAATTTGTCTATCACAAAGAAGGGAAGATTACAATAATTGAGTCGACTTTAAAGAATTGATCTGTTACTGACTCAGTTTTGAATATAAATTTACACTTTTTATCTCAAAAAAGCCAATTTATTGGGAAATTGGCTCTTAAATGAATCATTTCCAAGAATAAATTAATCAATCAATTCTTACTTTATGGAAGAAGAATAGTTAGTTGATTGGTGATTTGGTTTTCCCTTCTTTGTGATTAATAAAATGGTCATTGACTGTAAAATATTTCAACTTTGTGTGTGTTAATTTATGTGTTCCCTATTGATAAGATCCACCCACTAAACAGGTAAACTTTATTTTCACATTCAAGCAGAATCAAACATATCCTGGCCTAGAGCCCTTTTCAAGAATGACTATAATACTAGGAAAAGAGCTAGCTTATCTTGAAGAAGTGTATGTAGGCCAGAGAATACATAAAAGGGACACTGAACACAAAATATTTTGTCTTTGTTCCTAAGGGACATTGTCAAGTGTAGAGAAGATTTTGTGCTCAACACTTCAAGTGAACTCTACACTTGACAAAGTCCCTTAGGGGGCGAAATATTGTGTAATCAATGTATCTTGTTAATTAATATACAGCCACTGGCAACTAACTAAGAGGCCTACAGTTTATAATGGAATCCGAACAACATTTTTGCCTTGTAATTGACGAAATGGTCCAATTATCAGGATAGTACTGCAGATGTTATATTATCAATAGCAGATGTTATCACTAGTACTCTACTCACTAGTGTGGATATTAATCTACAACAAGGAGTAACCCATCCACAGTGCATACCTATGAATATCCACAATTTGTGACCTCCTATTAGCTGGATTACAGGACAACGCCACAAGAGGTAATTTGAAAATGTATAACCAAGTGCCAGAAATTGGAAACAATTTTTTTTCATTTTACAAATGTTTGGCTTGAAAGGGTCAAGAGTGATTCTCATAACCCGAGCCTTTGAGCCTTGTCACATATTAACATCTAAACAACTGAACTTTTTCCCAATTTACACGACCACGTAAAATAAGTTTAGAACAAAGTGATTCATGCCTAAGAAGGGTTAGGAATTATTCTCATAACCCAAGCCACACACTCACATGTTTGTCACTCACATGTTGGCTCACATGTTTGTCTCAATATTAACAGATTTTCCCCCCATTTACAATGAGTTTAGGACAATGTAGTTAAATGAACATAAACAACTAGCAATAAATAAACTTTACTGAAACATTAGTTAAAACTATGTGTCTCTGCTGAGGTATTGTTCCGGAGTTAACAGCTCTTCCTTGTACCGGCCGCTGGCTGGGATGGTCGGCAACACCACGGCCAGGTACCCACGGTCCGACGGTCGTTCTGTCACTAGGTTGGGGTTCTCCACCAGCTGGTCGTTAATCTATAACAAGGTGTTGTCAGTGATGAATTAATAATAATAAATATTTATTGTAATTTGGTACTATAAAAATTACAATAGACAAGGTCATATTTGTTACACATGTTATATAAAATATTAACACCTTGAGCGCGAGTGACGGGCCAGCCCGCCATGCGCAGTTGGCACACCTGGCGTGATAATAAATGATGATTATTCAATAATCATTGGCAAACAATTTTTTTCCCACAAATACAAAACAGCTTACTATACAGGGTGTTCATTTGAAAACTTTCCATATCTGTTGTGTGCAAAGGTAAGGCTTTTAACACTTGTTTGTTCTCATTTCCCCCTAATTTGGACATGCCAAATCCAATAAAATTATTTTCAATTTCGAAAAATGCCCCAAAAGGGCCCAATTTGGGGGGTAGGGGTGCTTTTTGAGAAATTTTCAAATGTAAACATGGGTTGTGTGATACATCAATTTAAAGGTCTAATCACCCCGACTATTTTGGTGCAATAAAAATTTAATTATCTTTAACCGTATTTACAGGGTGGGTCAAAATGTTTTAAAAAAGGACTTTGAAGTTAAGTACCGTATTACCCGAACTACTGAACGGAACAGCGCCAAATTTCTTTCCAAGCTTATTCTTGATCTACTCTTTAAGATAACTTGTAATAAGGGCATTTTCCGTGTTATTTTCTAATTTTTTAAAAATCTCAAATTTGAAGAATAAAAGAAAGCTGAAAACTCAAAATTCTTAAATAGCAAGGTACAGCAAATTCCATACCACGTGAAAGGTCCTTTTTTAACAAACATTTTACGTATTTAAGTTTTCTTTCTATCTCTTACCGTTTAAAAATTGCAGTAGAAAAACTGAATTTTATATCGTAAAATTTTAACTAGTTTTCTAACAAAACACATTGCACTTTGCTCAGCGATGTATTATGATTAATTACAAATTGATCAACTACTTTTACTTGTGTCAGTTCATCTTGGACTCTTCATCCTGTTCTTTTCTCATTGGTAACTAAGCCAGTTTCAGAAATTGCTTAACTAAATCATTTACAGCTTTATGACTTAAGGTCTTACCTGGATATTTATTGTTAAACACTTTGCAGTTATCCTGAAACAATTTTGTTCTGTCCAATAAGTAAAAATAATAGTATATTTCATTACTAGGACCGAAAGTGGCATTTTCCGTCGCGCGCCCAAGTTTTTGTGTGAGGCGAAGCCGAACACAGGGAACCCCAATTTCACGTGCGAGGCGAAGCCGAGTATGTGAGAGCTATTTTCACGTACGAGGCGAAGCCGAGGACGGGAATAATGGAGCAAGTGCCGGATAATAACTTTCGGTACGAGTTATGAACGATACTTTTCATCACGACGCAAAAATACACAAACACAGAATAGCAGACCTCAGTATATTAAAACAATTTGATTTGTCAATTAATTTGATTAAACATCAAAATAAAATAAAATCTTCTAAAAAGAAACCTACGTATATTTCTCAATAAATTTTGTTTAAACATCAAAATTAAAGAATAACACAACTTTTAAAAATACATACAGCTGATTAAAATCATTAAATTAAACCGTAACAAAACACTGGCACGCGTAGTGAATAAATGGAGAACTAATTGAGAGCGAGGGAAAGTAAATTTAGAGCGAGGGAAAATCAGCTGATTGATTTTCCCTCGCCCTAAATTAGAGCTTGGGAAACGACTACTTTCATTGATAATCAGGTGTTATCAAAAATAGCTACTTTCGTTAAGGAGTGATGAAAAGTCTATTTTTTTTAAGTGTACACCATATTTGATTAGATACTACAGAAAATAGTACTTTTTGAAATTAGTACTACCATTGACTAGTCAATGGTACTACAGAAAGCGGCCCACATGTAGGTTGTCCTCATCAGCTATAAGACTTGTTTTTCACAAAGTAAAACGTGATGACTTGTTTGTCAATCAGGGTATCAATAATTATGAATTGTTTCCTTCAGTTAATGCACCATTAAATGTGTCTAGAGACGAATTTTGGCTGTTTTATTAGAAAACTAGTTACAATATTACTATGGAAAATTCAGTTTTTCTACTGCAATTTTTAAACGGTAAGAGATAGAAAGAAAACTTAAATACGCAAAATGTTTGTTAAAAAAGGACCTTTCACGTGGTATGAAATTTGCTATACCTTGCTATTTAAGAATTTTGAGTTTTCAGCTTTCTTTTATTCTTCAACTTTGAGATTTTTAATAAAATAGAAAATAACACTGAAAATGCCTTTATTACAAGTTATCTTAAAGAGTAAATCAAGAATAAGCTTGGAAAGAAATTTGGCGCTGTTCCGTTCAGTAGTTCGGGTAATACGGTACTTAACTTCAAAGTCCTTTTTTAAAACATTTTGACCCACCCTGTAAATACGGTTAAAGATAATTAAATTTTTATTGCACCAAAATAGTTGGGGTGATTCGACCTTTAAATTGATGTATCACACAACCCATGTTTACATTTGAAAATTTCTCAAAAAGCACCCCTACCCCCCAAATTGGGCCCTTTTGGGGCATTTTTCGAAATTGAAAATAATTTTATTGGATTTGGCATGTCCAAATTAGGGGGAAATGAGAACAAACAAGTGTTAAAAGCCTTACCTTTGCACACAACAGATATGGAAAGTTTTCAAATGAACACCCTGTATAATTTCAATGGAGCTTTAACAAAAATATTGTCTATAGTCTTTGTTCAGCTATTATTTATATATTGTGTAAACTACTAAACAAATTTTTAACATTTATTTCATTAATTTGTATTGCTATAATTATTAAAATTTATAACAATACGGTAGGTGAATGAAATTGTTAAAATTGTTCAGCAGATTAGGAAAATAGGATTCACTCAATGAGCAAAGATTAAAGGTAGTTTCCTGAGAATAAACAATGCAGCTGATAAGAGCCTTGCCGATTCTGCTGAGACATGAAACAAACCCAAGCAGGTTTTCTTAGTTCAACAGGTTTCACTGAGTGCTTTGAGTTTCGAAGTAGTTATTTCTTCTGTTACAAAATAGTCTTCTATCTATCTATACTATTATAAAAAAGAGGTGGTTGCTGTATGTGTGTATGGGAAAAGTAAACTCGAAAAATACTGGTCGGATTGGGCTGAAATTTGGCATGATGATAGCTCACATTCCCGATTAACATATAGGCATATTCTTATTTCAAAAATCCTTTCGGGCTCCGCCCCAGTGGCTCTGGAGTTTCCCATGTTAACCTTATGAGAAATGGAATTATTGAATCTTAACAGCTGTTTCAATTAAACAAGTTGGTTCTGTTCTATGATGTTCAATAGCATTAAAGTTACAAGGATTACCAACAGGGTGCAGCACTATTATTTCTTTTACATTTATGACAACAGCTAATTTGCAACCAAAAGGTGAGTGAGCGTAGCGAACGAACTTCAACCTGGAGGCGAGTTAGCGTAGCGAACGAGCTAACCTGAAGGCAAGTGAGCGCAGCGAACGAGCTCCAACCTAAAGGTGAGTGAGCGTAGCGAACGAGCTCCAACCTAAAGGTGAGTGAGCGTAGCGAACAAACTTCAACCAGGACGTGATTGAGCCATGCGAACGAGATAATCTTGAAAATTAAGAAGTTAAACGGGGCAAAGCCCGCGGGTTACAGCTAGTAGTTCATAAATTAAGCTCACTGTTCTTGAAGAAAATAATTTGTACACTGAAATTAGTGTTATGAAAAAAAGTGCTTTGGCTAATAAGTGAATAAATATAGGTACCAATTTACAAGTTTTAACTGTTTGATATTGTCACTGTGAACTGGGGTTATAAGCCTAGCAAGTCAGTTCGGAAAAATAGTTTAAAGTATTTTACTATTTCCTGGGATTTTCTTGTAGAGTTTACTACTTACACACATCCTTATAAGGTTTAACTTCAGGTATGTAACACTTTTAAAACTAAAAAATTACTCATTAATTAAAAAGATTGAATTTAATGCACTGAGTCTATTGCTATTGCTGACCCACTAAAATAGTCAAATAGTCGAATAGTGTTATTGTGTTATGTTTACTGCGTAGTGTTGACATTGTATAAATGCAATGGATGACCCAGACGACCCAACTTATGTTGAAAACGAGGACTCTGAAATCGATGACAACTCGGAATCAAGTTCAGGCAGCTCTGAGGAAGATGACGCCGAGGTTGAACCCCCCCCCAATGGTTGACCCCCACCAATGGTCGGCCACCCCTGGTGGAATGGCGGGACTACGGGACATCCCGTTTACAGGCGAACCAGGTATTCGTGTACCAATTCCTGGTGATAATAAACCATTCAATTGGTTTAAACTCTTGCTTGATGTAATATTCTTAGAGCATATTGTAGCCGAAACCAATAAGTTTGCGCTGGAATTTTTTTGTGGCCCAAACACTACTCCTCAATCCCGTATTACAAAATGGAAGGATTTGACTATTCAGGAACTCTACACCTTCATTGGCCTACTCTTGCATTCGGGGACCATAAGACTGAATAGAAGTTGCTGTCCAGAGTTCAATGTGTGCGGACCTGTTATCAGTTGGCTCGCTGCATATCTAGTCAAAGTCTATTCCTGTCTGCATAACCTATAAACTGTGCCGGTTTATTCAGTTATTACTATTTTTGTTAATTTAATTGCATGTGACAGACTAAAATGCCTGTAAAGTGTGTGAAAGAAACTCTATTTTGGAGACACTGCTCATGACTCTCATCGAACATGGTTTGATCAGTGGCTCCTGTGCTGACATGGTGGCCAGTCAATACAACTCCGTATGCTCTTCACCAATGGCCCAGCAAGCGTTATGGGAATTTACAAGAAGGAAGATAGATTGCACAAGTTATGGATTACCATACTGAATATTGACAATGACAAACTTAAGAAAGTTATCAAGATGATTATGACCCTTTCTCACGGCATCGCCGAGGTCGAATGGGGATTCTCAGTTAATAAAGAATGTATGATTACAAACAAAGCATCCAGAGAATTTGAAT